GTTGATTGTTTCTTGTTACTATTGGTTTTCGCTTACTTGGTTTGGATAAAGTGACTGAAATTTGGCCTCAAAATATATCTTTACAACACTTCAATAATAATTATGGAGGGACATTGCATGAAATTATATACCTGAGCCTTCTAAGAGATAAAAAAAAAAAAAAGGAAATACCCCTTTTCTATTCTTGAAATGTGGAAGGCTATAAGCGCATTATCATCAAATTTGTTCAATCTATTAGTGCTTTAAAAATAATTTTCCTAATTGAAATTATGGATCACTTTCTAGAAATTTTCTAGACAAATAGAATTTTATAATTTTATTATCTAGTTACAAATTACATGTTTCCTTGTTGTAATTTCATGTATAATTCTTTTCATCAAAATTTTTTATTGACTTCATTTTATGTAATTTTTTTTTATGTTTATTCGTCTCGTTTTAGTGTGAACTCAATACTCAATAAATATGATCATTTTTCAAAGTGCTTAATTATTCAATTTCTTTAATATACTCCTTCCTTTTTCTTAATTTTAAGTGTCAAAAAGGCGGCTAATAGATTTATAATCTAATGAAAATGATATGAAAAAAAAAAAAAAAAGATGTGATTGTCGACGATAATGGTTGATTAATTTTAGTAATTGATTCTTGATTGAAAAGAGAAAATTCTTTAATTTTTGTTGAAAGAAAAAGAGAGAAAATAACAAGGAAAGAAAAGAAACATACTTAAGTGGGGTAACTGGGTTTCCAGCAAGTTGCAAAAAAGGTGGCATGATTTTCATTGCCAAGAAAATTCAGAACCAACCAAATTGTTCCAATCTTTCTGTCCTTTGCCATCTTTCTTTGTCAGAACTGCCTGCATATTAGCTAAATTAAACTAAATTTCATGAATCTAATCTCACTGCCCTATGATATATATAGGGCAAATGTGGGAGATATTTATTTTTCACTTCGTTTTTTAATAAAATCAATTGAGTAATATTTAAAGCATTTTAAAATTAACTTAAGTTCTATATATGCTTGATTTATTTCATGATTTATGAATAATTATTTGATCTGAATTTTTGGAATTCTTTTTTCAAGTAAGGAGTGTTCAAAGTGTAATTAAATAATTTTACTTTTTTTTTTTTATTTTGAACAATGAAATAGGAATAATAATAATTATGTTTTCTAGTACATTTTTGTCTAATTAGGAGACCTCCAAAATGTGAAGCCAAGAAAGGCCGACAAACATAGAGAATATTTCTGGTGCTGCATTGCTTTTTAGGAAAGCAAATTTCTTAGGGATTTCCCACAAACATTTTTTCTTTTATATATGTACTTAGCATATATATTATGCATAAACAAATGAATCACTAAAAGCAAAAGAAAAAAAAAAGGTGGAGTTTCTAGTGAAGATCCGAGTAATGAAAGTCTTAAGAAATGATTGACTATAATAATACTTGAAAGAATGTACTATATTGCTTAATTTGCTTTTTACTTTAGTGTACTCTTTAACTTCATTCACTATGAATTGATTAATATTAAATTCATCCACCTACCCATCATACATATGATGCTATTGCTTGCCCAATTTTTTAATACGGTTAAGATATTCTTAAGTTTTGCATGCGAAAGCTTATTTTTCTTTTTGAGTAATTTTAAGGATTTTTTTTTTTCACATTGGTTTGATACATTTGAGATTTTACCAAATAAACTAATTTTTGTAGGGAATTTTACTTTGTTTTCATTAAAGTTTCAATTAGCTTAGATGATAAAGAATCCAAATGCTCTTGTCTTTCAGGTATTTGGATCTTGTTTTCACTAAGGATTGAGGATTAATTTATGGATATAGGTTGGTCATAAAGAAAAAAAAAAAAGAGTGGAAGGATTTATTTATACTACTATAAAGAAAAGAAGCTAGGCATTCTTGTTGTCAATAATTAATATGTGCCTAAAAGCTATATATCCCATAAATAACGCAAAAAACCATGAAAGAAATTAAAATTACATGAGAAAGCTCATTGTGAATTGGATAGGAAGGAAAGCAAGAAGAACCTAACCCATTAGAAAGAAAGACCTTAGAGAAGAAAAAGGTGAGGCCAGGTCTTTCAAAATGTGTGAACGACAATAGTCCTTTACACATTAGGGTTTGCATACTTTTTAAGTAGTTGTTATCATGACAAAGCATGAGCATGATACACAAACAATGGAATGATGATGAGTAGCTATATGAATTCCATCCATGCCCTTTTGGTGACTTTAGTTTGGTTTGCCGAAGTTCTCACAGGAATCTGATAGCGACAGCAAGAGTGAATCCAATCACACGGCAACTATTCATTTAATGTAATATTTTATATATATAGTGTATGTGCATTATTGGACTCTTGAGGATTTTGATGCCTTTGGATCATTGCTTTGAAAAGCTAGTGCGGCAATATCTGATTAGAAACGGGAAAGGGTACTTGAAGTGGATGATCACTGAGTTAACTTGGTTTGAGTAATCGGTAATTAAGTTGTTGATGGAATATATTAAAGATAACAAATCAATCAAAATCTACCTGAATTGTAAAGAATCTAAATTGAAGGGTCAATATTGCTATACCCCCTCACTGTTTAGTTGATCTAAAGACACCCAATTATTTTGGATAGCTGTGCCTTTCATTCCTTCATTCTGGCCCAATTTCAATATCCATTTGCCATTACTTTATATTAGAATCCTGTATCCACCATCATTCCAGCTCAGCTAGTGAAACCTGCTTTTCCTGAAGATGATTTGTTTGGGGGCGCTAGCAGAATCTCTCTAGTCCTCTCAAAACAATTTCCTGCCAACATATTTGGGTTACATTCATAGAAGAACAGAACATGAAAACAGAAGTAATGAAGGTAGCCTAAATCTCCAAAAAATATTATATATATTTCACTAAAAGAGTCCTTGATTTCAAATTTTTATTAAAGTAACTTGCATTTCACATGCTGCTAAGAGGAGACTGGAAGCCTTTCTTAACGGTCTTTAACCCATTAGATATAAGCAGTTAACCAAATGCGTAACCCATTAGCAAAATTTACAAAATAATAATAATAATAATTGAATCACTCATGAAACCTGAACTTTCTTTAATTATTATGTCATTTTGCAACAACTATTCAAGATTTAGGGTAATGTATAAAAGAAATATGTTTCCTGTCAAATTGTAAAATTAAAAATTGCTTTTGTTCACCTTATAGAGTTTCGATTGCTTGATTCGATAAGACCATGGGCCACCATATAACAATTGTCCAGGGAATGAGTTCAATTATGGACCCATTTCCTAAATGCACTTGGCCCAAGCAAAGATATGGCTGGATCTAGCCCAGACCATGGTTAAACTTATTTTTTCCCCTAATAAATCAAAGTCGAGTTGCAATCTGAATTGTTCGGACCATTTTTTATCTCTCGTGGTAGCAACGTATTGGACACCCAAAGACCAAGGCCCTGTGCTTGAAGTCGCATGAAAGAAAGAGAGAGTATCCCGAACATGCGATTACATTCAACTTGTTCTATGACTATTATTAACAACAAATAACTGCAGAGACTTTTTCAATTTTCTAAGTTGACCTTATGGCAATGATCAAACAACTCACAACGATACATAAATATATGATAAAATTGATTAATCTGCCTGTAGATCGAAACAATTGCCTCTCTAAGGCTTATCGGAGCCACGATGTGGAAGGACCTTCCTATGTTTGTCTATGGGATCAAAATTCAAAACCCTAAAGTTGCAAAAAAAAAAAAAAATGAGTTGAAAGAATTGGGCAACACGAAGCCATGTTTAGTTTTGCCAATTTTTAAAAGTAGCATAACAGCATAACGGGTTGGTGGCAGAAAATTTGGATCCCTAAAAGATAGATTAGGTTCGCATGGGCTTTTACTCATTTATTCTTTCCACAAGAAATGTCGACAGTTTCTTTGGTTTGCTTTATACGTTTTCAAAATCTACATTTTATTTAAATTTATGTGTTGTGAGAAGTGGATCTATAAAAAATTTTTTAAAAAAGCTACAATTACATCATCAAACTCTATTGAAAAGAAAAGAAATAGTTATGAATCGCTTGAAATATCATATCCAGCATGTAAATATCTGTACTAGTTATCTCGAGAAGCGAAGGGCTATAAAAGTGGATGATTCAAATTGAGACCAACCCTACTCTACTACTCAAATCCTACAACTATGAGCTTATAAACTAACGATTCCTTAATTGTATACGTATACGGTAATAAGATTATAAAATATCTTTAATTTTTTTATTTAATGGTCAAAAAAATAAAGTTTGACTACAACCTCCCCTTCTCTCTTATTGTAAGATTCTACTCCCCCTTAAAACCAAAAGAAAAAATAAAGTTATCAAACACGCGATACGCCACGAGTCCACAAGCTAGGCAGCTAGCTTATATTTTGTAGGGCCTATTAAAGATGATAATTTTGAATTAAATTAAATTTTTTAGATAATATATAAAATTTTAAATTTTGATTCAAATTAAAATTAAATTGATTTTATTTAATTCATTATTTTTTTTGTTAATTATTTTAATATAAAATTTAATATATTTAAATATAAAATAATTATTTTACTTTTGTAAAAATTTTAAATATATAAAAAATTAATAAAAATATATGATTTAATTTAATTTTTTATTTTTTAATTCGAATAAAAATGATCAATTAAATCAAATATTATAATTTTAAATTAATTTTTTATTTTTTTTATCTTTCTCACGTCAGACTACAATAATTTACAAATCGACGCCTACTAACAACAAAAGCTCGGAAAAAAAAAAAAAGAAAAATTAGAAACTAACTACGGTTAAAATCCTAACTGATATAGAAGTAACCATGGTTCATTCATCTGCTCCAATCAAAACCTTTCCTTATAAAAACCCCACCCTCACGAACGCCACAAATATATTACGGCAAAAGAGCAAGGGAACCAGAAAAGTGGAAAAGCTTTCTCAAGAAAGTGGCAATATAAAAAGGGTGATACCTTCACTGGAAAAATGGCGTTTTACGTCGATGAAGAAGAGGTCTGGAAATGTTCAAAGCATCCTTCCAAACGACGCCGTAGTGGAGTCTGTCCGGTTTGCCTCCGAGACAAACTAGCTTCTCTTTGCCCCAACTGTGCCCACGCGCGTCCTTGCGCGTGTAGCGCTACCTCATCTTCCTCCTCATTCTCCTTCTCTAGCTTCTCAAATGCGGTTGCTGGGGATATCTCAGGTGTCGGCGCTGTCGGTCGAGTTTCCAATCTCATCGAAAGCGAGCCGGCCTTCCGACGATCCAGATCCCTCGCGATTCCTTTTCGCCAATCGAAACCGGAGAGTTTAAGCGAAAGGAATGGATTTTTGGCGAGTAATAAGAGCAAGACGCCGTCCTTTTGGTCGATGTTTAGAGCTAGTAATAGGAGTAAGGGATACGAGAGTGAAGATCATCAAAGAGAAATTGAGAAAGAGAGAATAGCGGCGGATGATGAACGGAGGATGATGATGAAGAAGTCAATGTCTGTGGCAATGACATCACATTCCAGCAACGGAGATTTGAAATCATCCCCGTCTAGTAGAGGGAAGGGCTGGTATTTCCCGAGTCCGATGAAGGTTTTCAGGCCAACTAGGATTTCCAAATTGGCTTTCCAAGAAAACTCTCCTTTGTACAGAGGTTGATATCTTTTAACTCTATTTTTTTTTTTGTTTTTTGTTTTTTTTCTGTCTTTATCATTTGTATAGTAAATAAGTAAATGTCAAAATTTAACAATAGGAAGGAACAAAATATGATTATATTTTAAAACTTTTTGTAACTGATGCTAAAGGTCAGACCAAGGAATTTAATTCTTTTGTGTTTAATACATTATTGTTAATGTATTATTGCAATTTATTTAAATTTCTCATAACAATTTTTTCGGTGTTAGAGAGTTGAGAATTTGCATTTGATTTTTTTGTCGCATTCTGAATCTTGCAATTGATATGGGCAAAGGAGTGTGGTTCAATAATAACACAAAAAACTTAAATTAAAAAATTTTTAATTACTTGATTTTAATGGTGCAAAATTATGCCATTTATCTTGAAATTATGGCACAATAACTAAGTAATAAACCATCTTATTTATTACCCTACAACACTAAAGAATTTGTGCCCCATTCCTTAAATATGATATAATTTTTGTTTGATGTGATAATTCTGATAATTTAAAATATGATATAAAATTAAAATATAAAAATGATATGATTTAAAATTTTAATAATAATTAAATATAAATTTAACAAAATTTAAAAAATATATTTTATATTTTTATATTAACACAAATTATAATACTTAATTTTTATATAAAACTAAATACATAAAATTTAACATTTTATATTATTCGAATACATAAATATTTAAATCTACTATTTGAGGTAACTACAAGATTCATTTGCGATAACATTTTACACCCAGGGCGTTGTAAACTTTATTTTATCTCAATATATTAAAAGTGAAGTTTATTTTACTAATGAGATTAAAAGATTATTATAACAAATAGTGAACTTTATTATGATATATCTAAAATAATTAATAAATTAATATGACAAATAAAAAATATAGGATAATGTTTTAATTTTATTTATAAAATTTAAAATTTTCGTTGATAATGTATAGAAAAATATATTATAAATTGGAAAAAAAAAAAAGAAGTAACTTAATTGGACCCAATGTATTATATTAATATAATCTATTTTCACTAGGTTGACGTTAGCCCTCTTAGAAAGGCATCTCCATTCATTTTATAATGTTTGATTAATTTGATTTTATCCAACTTTTTACAACAAAAACATTCTTGCAAAATTCCCTACTAGCTATTAGATACTTTCATTCAGAATTTAAGCTATGCCCTTTTTATGTACTGTCAATTTTTAATTACAATAATTAATATAGGTAATAAGGTTAGAAATTTTTTAAATTTATTAAAAAAATAAAATCATCTCATTGAAACAGTTATTCAATTAGAACAAAATGTTTTTCTACTAAATTTTCTCCAAAAAAAAAAATTAACCTTCAAAATGGAATTAATTACACCCAAAAGCAGTGTGTACCATTCTACAACAAAAGCTGGGACGTAACATGATTTCTCACCAGACATGCCTGTGAAGAAAGACACTATACATTTTCAGAAACCACTCACATACTTTGTTTTTCTTGTGGGACCTTTCACAAACCTTGATGCTGTGAATATTTGAGTTCAGAATCTACTATTGGATTTAAACCATAGTTTGAACTCCAAAACCAGCAATGTAGAGCTTTAGCAAATGCAATCCGAAATCCAAAAGACACTTGAAAAAGGGGCATAAACAAAAACCCAAAGAGCTATCGAAAGAGGCCAAAAGCTGACCTCTAACCTGAATCGATCCCTTTTGTCCCCTTGTGCTTGTGCAGGTGGATCAAGAGTTGGTTTTCCTCGGTTGTTTATTGACAATAAAAGATCCTGAAACGAGCAGACAAACTGTTAAATCTTCTGGCCACACACTTTAAAGCATCCCTCTGATTTTTTTTCTTTATATTAAGCAATATTGTGGTCCCTTTATTAAATGAAAGCACACTATTTACTACATTGTCTGTATGGTCTTTTTCCTTTCTGATCTTTTGAAATATATATATATATATATGTTTTCCTTGAATCTTATTGTGATGATCAATGTCGTGATCAAAAGTCAAAACCAAATGTTATATTACCCTTTGCTGCCCTGCATTTATTTTGGGCGGTTAATAGGCCACCAAAGCATGCAAGTTTAATATACACGCTTCAAAGTTGTCGATAAAAAAAAATGTTCTTTCGAATCGGTTATCTATCATCTGTAGAAAATGATCCGTTATATTTATAGTTTTTTATTTTGAAAGTCTCCAGGCGCCCGAGCCAAGCAGGAAAGATGGCGCAGTGGAGAAGCAAGGGGAATTTGGAAAGTTAGGTGTCGAGAGAATCTTGATTCTTGGGTTTGTGACACGTGGAGGATCAGGTCATGGATATTAGTCAACCCAAGGCCAGAAAACTGGAAAAAAAAAAAAAAAAGGAGTTTTGACAGCATCATGTAATCTAAATTGCGATAGTGGCAGCAATTGCTTTTGAGAAACAGACAAATGAACCCAGACAAATGCTGACATGGCTTTGGAGACAAGCTGCGTACTGAGGAGTTTAGTACTGTTGACAACACAGATTTTGTGAAGTTGGGATGGAAGCAAAGCAAGCAAGCGTGGTTACATATAAACCAATGTAATGGAGAGGATATTTGTCAGGGTACAATCAAATGTACAAGCAAGGAGTACATGACAACATGCCTTTTTGCACAACCACAGATGCATCCGTGATCTCTCGATTACTTCGTAGATTGTACCCTCCGATCCATCAACGATCGATCTCAAAGTAAAACAGTTCATTTTCCAGGACTCCAAGAGAAAAAAAGAGTACAACTATCGCCTTTTTCTACCCCACTAATCATTTCTTCCTCTCCCCTTACCATCCCTTACTCAACAAATGAAAAACTTCCTATGATTTTTTCTATATCTTTTATCATTCCCACAATATATGCATGAACATATTCGAATAAGTTAGGGTAGTTGTCGACTCCTTAAAAATCTAATATATATGAGGTGTTCATGAATTCAAAGCGAGTTGTGTGAGGCAACCCCATATCATCTTCCCTTTTTTTTTTTTTATGATGTTAAAGGCAAGTCATGTGGGGAGATGTCCCACATTGAACGTGAAAGTTTAGTTTTGGTTTTTGATGGCAGTAAGAAAAATGCTAATAAGCTTCTGCTTTCATTGGATGTTTCAAATCGGACATCTAAATCTCTTTCCATCTTTTTAACGCATTTTAGGGACCTGTGCATTTTAGACGTACGCACACGAACGCCAATTTCTTTTTTTTTTAACTCAATGATAGTTTGAGGGAGTGGCCATCAGGTGAGAAAACAAAGCCATAGTTGATAGGCCGGCCATAGCCTTGTTATATTTAAATCCTACCCATAGTAATGCTACTTTCTCACCTCATGCACTGAGGGTTCTATTTTCAATAGCTTACAATCGTCATATGATCAGTAGCAGTAGCTAAAGAAAGAACTAATCATCATCGTCTATCTCTAGCTCTTGCTCCTCCAGGATTCGTTTCAAAGGTTCAGAATATATCACCAGTGGATTAGGCACCAATGAGGCTGGGGATTCACTAGGAGTGCGCTTTCCATTATCAATTATGGGACACCCTTTGATCATATCCATTTCCCCTTCCTGATTTATCATTACCATATTGCAGGGTATTTTTTCAGCAAAGAATTTCCTGTTCTTTCTCAGATCCCGGTTACTGCATAATCTTATAAGGATCAAAACAAAAAAAAAATAAAATAACTAGCGAAAAACAAATCAAACACGGTTGTGTCTCCAATATTACCTGTCAAAAACAACCCATGTTGCGCGAAGACTTATGATTCTTTCGACAACGAGCGATGGTAGGGGATACCCCATTACAATTTCTTTCTGTGGCACCACCTGCGGGTAAAATGTTTGAAAGCAGTTATTTTAAAGCCACCATATTGATAAATAGACAGGAGCCAGAGAATTCAAATTCAATACCCCATAATTTTTGCAAAGATTAAGCACTGCTTGGAGCTTTAGATATTTGGCATCATTCTTCCACTCGTTTTTCTCTTTTGTGAGAGGCAGATGCTCAAATTCAAGAGTCCAAACATCTTGCCAGGTCTTCGAAGACACTGCAGACAGAACAAGTGACATGTATTACCTTAATTTCTTATCCCTGCCCAAAAATTCTTACATAACTGGAGCAGAAAATTACTTACAAGGAATATTCAACCATGGCATGAAACCAAGGAGGGTGACTATGTCTATGTGACCGGGTGCTATAATTTTTTCAAGCACCCATTCTAGCAGCTCTGTGGTGAATTCCTTTAGGCCATCCATAACTATCACAACATGTTTAGGAACATTAGCTGAGCCTGGTGAACTAAGATCATTTGCCAGTTTTGAGCCGTTCTTTCCCATAAACCTTGGCAGCGACATGGATAATTACGTTTTCCTCTGAATCTGATAAAGAGAACCGTATCTGCTATATGTTAATTCCCGAAGAGTTCTAATTTTGCTACTACCAATGCTTCAAAGAAAAGATCGAGAGGAAGGATTTGTGTTAAAAGCCCCATCCTTTTATAGTACTTTTCCTATGATTGTCTGAGTGAAAAGATAAAAAATTTGGATAGAAACAAGGAGCTTACCTTAGTACTTTTTGACACGAACTAGGTTGTTTTTCTACCATAACGAAAATTCCAACATGATTCTTTGAGCAAGGCCAAGATTTGTCCACGGTTTGTATTCTAGTCTAGAATTTATCGATTGAAAGAGTGAAGGGATCTAAAACAGCAGGAAAATTATCCATAGTTTTGCAACGTGCCAGTGAAGTAGTGCCAACCTAATGAAATATCTTGCTGAAACCCCAGTTAACTTATCTAAGCAACTTTAAATTTAGCATTGTTGTAATTTCAACGCAAGAATCGAACCAGTCACAATCTTAGACTCGATAGTTATTACTGTATCGTAAACAAAATTTACCTTATGAAACCCATAATATTTACTTCCCAAACAAAATCCTAAACTTAACATTTTCCCTGACCAGACCTAAATATAAAACAGCGCAACATCAGCCTTCTACCCATTACAATAGATAGCAAAAAGGATATGGTGAACTTCATATATGCCATGTATTTGTTATGTGATAGTCAAGAACCCACCAATTGGATTTAACCAAAAGGGCTGATAAAGTGTTCAGCGTGAGACAGGAACCGGGCGCATAAGATTATGGTTGTGTCTGCGGCGAGGGCTGACTCTTTTGCAAGGAGATGATCCTGTTCTTTTCTTCATTTTACCCGCAGTTTGTGGACCCAACAAAGCCATAAATTTTGCACCTCGTACAGTAGGCATCCTTTTGGCATATCTCACTGCTTCAATTCTTCCTTGATCCACGGCAGGCCTGTTGATTTCTCTTCGATGAATGCCTTGCTTCTCTTCTTTCAAACAACCATGCGGACCACATCCTGAAAAAGTAAATCATCTAGTCATCTTATCCTAAGAAAATCATATTAAATAACTTAATATGAATGAATTCCTTTACCTGAAGAGTCTCTCTCACACTCATCCGGACAATGATAACTGGATGGCATCCGAGGGAAACTACTATCATTTGCAACTTCATCAATACTTTGATTGAAGTTGTTTTCCCCAAGATGAGACACAGTAGATATATTTCTATCAAATTCATTAGAACAATTTCTTGATGCTGGTGGTATTGAAGCATCAGTCATGGGATTGCCATCTCCGGAGTTAATGGACTTTGATACTTGAAATTTTGATTCATTAGCAGGTGCTCCAGAAATCCCCTCAGCAGCAACATCTTTAGATTCATTGGCACCACAATCAGCACTATTTTCTACCTCGGGATTGGAGGCACATTCTATGTTATCTAGAACAGACTTTGGTGAAGAATCAGAAATACCAGGGTCTGCACAAGGCTTTTGCAATTTTATTGCCGTTGAAAACCAAGGTATACCCTGCCTAGCATAGAACAAAATGTAGGCTTCCTGAGAAAGCACATCTTCTTCTTCAACACTAGTAACCTACAAAAGATAAAATATGACAATTATGCGCTAATATTCAAGCTCCATCAAAATATTAGCATGTAATCACATAAATAAGTTGGAATTCTTCAAATCTATAATCTATATGACATTTTAATTTGACCCTTCAGAGTAAGATTTTACAATTTCAGTGAATCAAATCACTTATTTCTTGCTTAGTAAGGATATGTTAATCAAGAAATGCTTAACTAGAAATATATCTTGTAAATAGTTCACAACCATAGCATCTATTGCATATTTATTCCTTAGAAAAATTAGAAATGTAAGTTATACATGGAACAACCCTGTCAATCATTACCCTTGAATCATTCAACTCATGCCACGTATCTGGGGAGGACCGAATATAGCAAACATAATGTCCAGAAGTAGGTCTGAATCCAGAATGCTTCACAACTGCATATAGTTGATACTTGAGTTCCTCCTATTGCAAAAGGAGAAGAAATGAGACAAACATAGCAATTTTGTACCCAAAGATAAACTAAAAGCAAGTAGTGTAACTAATCAAACATCAATTTTATCTTGTCCAATGCTCACTAGTCCAATAAACCATAAAAGCCCACCACTAAAAATATTAAACATACAAGTATCATTATTACATTTGTCAAGAGAAACTTATAGATGTTGTCAAAAAAGGCGCCTACTCACATTACTTCTCTCATTGACAATAGTGTAAGGCTGCAAATCCAACTCTAGTGGGAACATCACATGCTTGTCAATCTTCTCGACAAAAGTCCCTTCAGTCTTAAATCTCTTCAAGTGGAATGTTGCAACTGAAGGAGCCTGGTCCAGCATAAATTGTTTTTCTACCGACACCTCTTCTTTACAATTCCCACACCTAAACTTTGCCTCCAGATCCTCAATCCTTTCCACCTTGGTGAAAGACTCCAAGGCACTTGGAAGGGAGTCCACATTTTCAATCTCCAAACTCAGGTCATTCAAAGGCTCATAAGTGTTAGAAATGTGACCACAATTGCAACAACATAGCTGAAACCATCAAAGTAAGGTATAGTCAATAAAGGACCACATTCTAACTTTGGAGCGTAATGAATGACTAAACGAGATCAAGTTGCATCATTCATACTCTACTAACAAGACGACCACCAAAAACCTTCTTGACCAGGCAATCATCTAGAGAGGACAAATCATTCTTGGTCTTTGAGTCTAAGCAACAGCTTTCAAGCCTATCTAACAAGCATTGCAGGAACTCATGAGCATCTTCCTGTTCATATCTCTGGAAACAAGATGAGATATCTGGATTTCATAGTCAAGAATCACAATTAAGAACACGCTTCACTTTTTTCTTATTTTTCAAGCCGCCTCTCTATACTTCAAATGCACCTTTCCAAGCAAATTGATAGCAAACATGGCAATTTCATCAAATTATAACAATTAAAGAAAAAAAAAAAGCCAAACTATATAGTGTTGCATATACTAAAAGTTCAATGCTGGAACAGAACCTATTAACTTTTATCAGCACGCTAAACAGTAAACATAACCAACTTAATTTATAAATTAATCAACCTAATGATAAGATACAGTTCAATTGTCAAAGATTTTGGAAGGCGAAACGACTCCTCCTGACGACTTCAACGAAAGCTCAATGTGATCATGAAGAGCACAAAGTAAACAAAACTCTCAATAACGACCTGATAATTCCAACAAACAAAATTAGCTAGACCCTCCAAAGGAAATAAGAACAGACGTTAAGCAAGAGTCTTACGATCACAACGCTTCTCATGATGATTCAAAGATCGAAGACCCAAACAAACGGAACAGTATGAGTGAAACATTGCAACACAGCATTGAATAAAACATGTGTATACCCCAAATTTTTCCAGCCCTGCACCCTAAAACCAATACACAATAATTGAATTATTCAATTGCAATTCACCAAAAAAAATATACATATGGATTAAGAAAACGAACATACCACCCCGGTTGGTTCAACTTCAGTTCTTGAAGCTTCTTTAGGAGGAGACAAGGGCCTCGACCACCATGGGTTCCATGTAGAATACCAAGATCAGGGGTTGTGAATTCGTTTTCTCTGAGACATATAACTGATCAATCCCATAGGTTGTGACGGCTCAGATTCAGTAGAAGGCGAAGGCGTCGGAGAAGTTAACGAAGACAAATCATCAGTTGATGATGCCTCAGACAAACGAGGATTGGCTACGGTTTCTCCTACGATCATTGGGGAAACTGATGAAGACCCAGATAAAGAATCAGCCATTAAAGGCGAAACTTGGGAGAAACAACAAGATTCTCTTGAGAAACAAAAAGATTCTGAAGTAGATGGTGATCTATCGTTAGGGTTTTGGAGAAATACGTTTTGGGTCTCCATTTGAAAGATAGTAGAACTTTGCTGTGAGCTTTGAAAGAAGAAAAAGAATAGTAATGAGGAGATTGAAATATATAAATCTCCAAAGGGAAATTGTTTAGGAATCCTCAATCTTGTTGGATTAAGAAATTTTGATTTGAGAAAAAAAAATCGAAGAGGGAATTCAGCGGAGGGAAATTGAAAAATGGGTTGTTTGCAAAACCTTTTTTAAGGAAGATTTTGAATTGGAGGGAAAACTAAGCCGCCATTTATTTGGCTTTTTCGAGAGAGAGAGATATTTCATCCTTTGACTGCGATGCTGCCTACTGTAGATTGTAAAGAGAAAACTAAATAGTACTGTTTGGCTACCGGTTTCGGTCAAACCCTCCTTTTTCTAGGGTTTTTTTTGTTTTTTTGGTTAAAAACAAAAAAATCTCTTTTAAGCTTTTCGGGCCAGAAAAACCTTTTCGGGCTTTCCTTTTAAGTCCATTAATGTCTTGAGCTTCCAATCCAAACAGGAAATGGAAAAAAAGTTTGGGCTTAAAGCCTTTTTCTTGGGCTTGCGAAATCCAAATTCAACCCCAAAAACCCATTTGTCTTCCTCCTGTGATTAAAATAGTAAGTAATTGTTTTTCACTGCTTACCTCTTTGCAGCCGAACTCTCCCTTTCGGTGGACGCAGGCATTCAGAGGAGGGTTTCCTTATTAGGCCATTACCATGGAAAAACCACAGAAGAGAAGAACAGAGAAGAGAAGCTTTAACACCCAATTTAATGGTTCCTACGTGTTATTTCCTGGCTCAACCATTAAATTAACAATTTTTTTACCAAAACCAAACTGAAATGTCAGTACCGTTCGACAAGATAATCAGATTGAAGAATTTAGAATACATCAAGATTTTCTAATTTACAATTAAACACCGAGAGATGAATATAAAAGATGGAAAATTCAACACTCTTGCCCTTACATTGTCTCTAAATTATCAAAATTTCTGAATTATACAGTTCCGCAAGGACAGAATTTAAACACCAACATAGTTGACTGTTTCAAGTCCTACCTCTCTTAATACACAGCATTCGATTTGCTAAATGAAGACAAGACTAATAATAGTACAAATTATCAAATCCTAAACAGCACCTGTGCTAAGAAAACCGGCCTGTCATAAACCTGGATGCTTTTAAAATATTATTTGCCTGTGAAAGAATTTTATGATGAGATCGCTTACATTCACTAAAATGGACATTGGATTGTGACGTAACAAACTCATAATATATTTTTTTTCAAGGCCAAAACACTACATTACGGGATTCTGTCCTGGAGATCGGTAAAAAGAGTGGATGCCAAGGAGCTGAGTTTCTTTCCCGTCTCTCCGCAATGTTCTTAAGGTTAGAGATATCCTGCTGTGCCCGAAAGTTACATTTTTTATTTAAAAAAATCAAGTTAACAAGATAAGAAAACAATGAAAAAAACAGGATAAGATAATTTTCTAAATATCATATGCACTAATAAAAAACTCAGGTGATGGATAAAAGATGCAATTTAGAAAGCAGACCTGGAAAGAGAGTCGGTTGATTAGGTCACTAGCAGCGAGGTCAAGAGAATTATCTGCACTATGACCAAATAGATCAGCGCTGGAGATGGCTGTTGAACCCTGAAAAAAAACAAGATTGCTATTAATCTCAGAAAACCACATTTCATATTATCAATTTCCACTTATTACTGCTCTCACAGCCCTTGAACTGAAAAATGGATTACTAACTATTTCTAATTATGCCTAAAGATCTTAGTTAAAGATGATTAAGAAAGATAGCAGATTCC